ATTCCTCTTCTGCAACCGTCACTAGTCTAATACTATCCTTACATTTTGTGTCATTTTACGCCACTCCCTCTAGCATGTAAGCTCATTGAGCAGGGCCCTCAACCCCTCTGTTCCTGTGTGTCCAACTTGTCTGGTTACAACTAAATGTCTGTTTGTCCACTCTTTGTAAAGCGCTGCGGAATTTGATGGCGCTATATAAATAACATCATAATAATAATATATTGGAAATAAAAGTGTGTGTGTATGTATATATATATATATATTGTGTGTGTGTGTGTGTGTGTGTGTGTGCGTGTGTATATATATACATATGTATAATATATACACATTTATATATTTATATATATATATATATATAAAAAAAATTATAACCAAAACATTGATACAAAAACCAATAAAACCGCTAACTTTTGTGACTAAGTGGCTATTACAAAAGACTGGACATACCCCATTTTGAATACCCTGGGTTATCTACTTTTACAAATGGTATGCCATGATGGGGTTAATTTTAATTCCTGGGCTGCTATATGGCCTTAAAGGCAACATAGGCCCAGCAAACCAATCTGGCATATTTCAATGTGCAAGCATGGAAAAGCCCTACATTTGACCCCTGTAAGTTTGCAAAAGCCCATAAAACCTGTACATTGGGGGCACTGTTGTACTCGGGAGATGTTGCTGAACACATATTGGGGGTTTCTTTGTGAGTAACACATAAACGTAACTAAAAATCCATGCCTAAAGTACAATGTGAAAGAAAAATAACACACAAAATCGACTATCCAAAAGTTTGACAAAGGCTGGTGGTAGAATTAGTGCATGGAAAGTGTTAAAATACAACCATTTGAAATACCTTAGAGTGTCTACTTTTCAAAAATATATGGTTTGAAGGGGGTAAATTATATTGTCAGGCTTCAAAAATGTCCCAAATGGGACATGGGTGCATGATGACTGAAAATTCCAAGTTGGAAAACTGGAATGTGCACCCGCCAAATAAGGTCTTTTAGCACCCAGAGAACCCAACACAACTATATATCGGTGGCATCGCTGTACTCAAGAGATGTTGCTGAACACATATTGGGGTGTTCTTTGGCAGTAACACCTAATAGGAGCTGATAATCCATGCCTAAAGTAGAATGTGTGTGAAAAATAACACAAAAAAATGACTAACCAAATGTTTGACAGAGACTGGTGGTAGAATTAGTGCATGGAAATACCACCAGGAGATTATGCTGAGCACATATTGGGGTGTTCTTTGGTAGTAACCCTTAAAGTTCTCAGTACATATATTCTTAAATTGCTACATGTCTCAAAAAAATCAACAATTATTATTATTTTTTTTTATTTGACATAGATTGGTGGTAAATGGCTGCAAGAAAAGATTCAAAATACCCCAGGTTTAATACCTTAGGTTATCTTCTTTTAGAAAATATATACATGTGAAGGGTTATTCAGGGATTCCTGACAGATACCTGTGTTACAATGTAACTTGTGTTAATTTTAAAAAAAATTGGTTTGGAATTAGCAAAGTGCTACTTGTGCTTATAGCCCTATAACTTTCTAAAAAAAAAAGCTAAGAACATGCTAACATTGGGCATTTCTAAACTCAGGACAAAATTTTGAAACTATTTAGCATGGGTGTTTTTTGGCAGTTGTAGATTTGGGGGGTCAAATTTTGAAAAAAGTTTGTTTTTTTCAATTTTTACATTATATTTTATAATCTTTTTTATAGTAAATTATATGATATGATGAAAATAATGGTATCTTTAGAAAGACAATTTAATGGCAAGAAAAACAATATATATATGTGTGAGTACAGTAGATGAGTAAGAGGAAAATTACAGCTAAACACAAACACCACAGAAATGTTAAAAGAGCCTTGGTCCCAACGGCAAGAATTTTGAAAAACGGCCTGGTCACTAAGGGGTTAAACATGTGAAAGAACAAAGTTAAGAAAAGAGCTTTTCTTAATTTTGATCTTTCAATTGTTTAGTAGATAACTTAAGCTTCCTAGTTTGGTATGCTTTTGTGTGATTTCCATCTTTAAGGATACTAAATATCGAGCTATCTACTAAAAAATTAAAGCAAAATTAAGAAATGGCTTTTCTTAATTTTGATCTTTACACAGTTAAACATGTATCACGCTAAATTGGTACTCTTATCTGGATTTGGCATATATAAGGATACCAAATTAAGGCGCTGTTTGGTAGATAGTTCCCTTATTTGGTATCCTTAAATATAGCAATTCCACGTAAGAATAACAAATTAGGGAATTATTTACCAATCAGCAGAAGGATCAAAAGTTATAAAATTACAACCTAAAATGTTTCATCCGAGTCCATGTTTTTTGAATTTTGGACAAAACAATATTCTACAATTAATTAATCAAAACTAAGCAGAACACTTTTTTTACTGTGCACATCTCTAGTTGTGATATCCACATGAAATATGCTTATATCTTATGTACTTATATACTTATATCAAACATCCTATACAGGGAGTTGCAAAGAATCCCCATCACTCAAAGCCCTCCCTCCATCACTCAAAGCCCTCCCTCCATCACTAACTGTTAGTATGCAGCTATAACTTTGGTCTACAAAAGTTGTTTAGAGTTTTTATGCTCTTATTAAAATCAATTTTGAAAAAGATTTTTTTATTTTACCAATAACCAACTTCTTTATATATTTAACTTTCGTATATGTTTTTGGAATATTCTGTATGTAGCAGCTACCTCCTTTACTGTTTCCTTTAGGTTTGAGTGTTCCATTGGGAATAGAGAAAATAGAACCACACAGAAGAGGTGGGTTTGTAGATTTAAAAAATAGCACAGAGGAAACACAAATGGGGAGTTACCAGTTGTCAGCAGTGATGGGAGCTCTGTTCAGGAAAGGGGAATTGGAATACATTGATTAAGTGAGGACAACTAAGGAGGAAGACGCTCACTTATGGATCCACCAAGCAAGAAAAATAACACCTCTATTTATATGGACAAAGGGGAAGGAAGGGGTCTTGTATTTTCTGTTTATACTTTTATTTTAAAGGTCTTTGAGGAAGTCCATATGTTATAGACATAACGCATAGGACCAATATTGCGTTTTATTTACTTTGAATACATATATTATTACACCTTGATATCTGTGTTGGAGTAAACCTAAATAAATCTTTGCTGAACGAAGGAGAACAGGAAGTGTGGCTATAAACAGAGGGAAGGCACCAGTGAGAAGTATAAATCTACTATATCTTGTGAGTGCAATTATTACAAGCTTTGTGACTTTTTATAAACTGTATTATTATGTATTATCTTTATCTATAGTTTTAGATAACAAGCTGCAACCCCAAAACATTACATTTTATGTATACATTTTTTATGTTCACCGTTTTTGCATTAATAGCCGGTATATATCACATTAGAACGAAAATAGTAAAATATGTGTTTTAAAAACGTATAAAAGAAAAAATGACTAAATGTGCATTTGATAGTTTTTCTCAGCGCATTAAAACCACTTACTGTGCTATACTTCTCCACTGCACAATGCACTGCATTGAAAATATATTTATTATACATTCATTTTCACTAAGGTGTTAAATAAGTCCATTGTTATGAGGTGGCATTTTTACATATTTATTATACAGATACATTTTCAAATGTATTGTCAAGTGTGCATTACCCTTCTAAATTGGCATTACTTCTATTGCTTTTCTATACAAAGTTTTTATTTAGTAACCCTAACCGTTTTAGTTTTCCTGTGACCTTTTCTATATATTATGTACCTATTGTAACTTTTAAGTATGTACATTTAATATAATACAAAATTCCATACATTCTTTTAAAAAGTACATATTTTTGGCAAGCAAAGAGCCTAAAGTTAAAGTCATGAATTCTAATAATACAGACATGGGTGTAACTAAAATTGAATTTCTTTTTCCTTCCATATTTTCTATCAAATAGATGCAGTATATGCCCTTTGATTATTCTTTCAGTACCCATCATCGAAGCAATCTCAGAAGTCTATATGAAGGAGAAAGCTTCAAATTTCTCATTGGTACTGTATTTCCATATCAATATATGACCTTCATGAACTAACAGAAAGTCATAATCACCTGTGTAATAAGAAATGCTTACACATGCAACAATATAGACAATATGTGTATGTACTTCAGTAAGATTTTCAGATATAAATATAAAATAATGTTCTTTATTGTATTGTTTGTGATATGATGCATTTTGTGAATTAAGGGTTTGCTAACCCAATCTCTATAAAACAAAGAACTTAGATAACAATGTATTTGTTTGAAACACTGGACCTATAGCTAGGATGTGAAATATGGAAAAATAAAATGCAGAATATTAAAACAACACTCCAGTCATCAAACAAAACCTTTAACTTCAGCCCTTAGTAACACCTCTTGGCTGTTAAGCAGAAAATCAGGAAGGTTTTCAGCCTTAATCGCTTTGAAGTATAGCTGAGTGAGTACTCCTCATTTCAATGTTGGTTTCTTTTGTTGCAAGAGCTTGGTAAGTGTCCTGCATGCACAATGTGTCCTAATGTTTATCTACGAGAAACATCTGATTGGATACAAGTCATCAGTATAAAAAGGTATGTTAATGCTGATACAGATTAATCAAGGAAAACACACACATACATATACATACACAATGTCATGGGAGTATTGCTTACATTTCTATAAAAAAAATAAAATAAAAATGTTGTTTAATCACAATGGTATGTAGGCGCATGGATGTAGCTTCTTATTGAATATATGTCTTTTTTCTAATCCTCAGGATTACTTACATAGAATGAATAAATAATTTTAGCAAAAAGCGAAGGCAAGGCATCATAATGACATCATGATAATAATAATCTCATAATAATGCACCTGCAGTCTTAATTCTCAGTTATTTTGTTGCTTAGAATGACCCTTTAACAAAACAGGTTGTCAAACCTGCAAAATAAGGTAAACAAATTTAACTTAGCATAGTCCATAACTGAATAAAACACATTGAACAAGACCTCTGAGTGCACCACTTTACTTCTGGTTTATATATATCCAAAAGTAAAGAGGTGCACTCAGAGGTCTTGTTCAATGTGTTTTATTCAAACAAACTTTGTGTCCTGATTGACGTTTCGACCCTGGCGGGTCTTTTTCAAGAAATTGAAAAAGACCCGCAAGGGTCAAAACGTCGATCAGGACACAAAGTTTGTTTGAATAAAACATTTTGTACAAGACCTCTGAGTGCATCTCTTTACTTCTGGTTTATCTTTGGACATGGGTTGCACCGAGGCAAGATTTATATTTCTAATACCTAAGTGAGTGCCAAGTTTCTCCTACTTATAAATATATATATCAAGGACAAATACCAGGGCTCTCTCTCTCTCTCTCTCTCTCCCTCTCTCTCTCTCTCTCTCTCTCTCTCTCTCTCTCTCTCTCTCTCTCTCTCTATATATATATATATATATATATATATATTTCCAAAGGACCACTCACTAAGGCAGTGTTTCCCAACCCAGTCCTCAAGGCACACCTACCAGTCCAGGATTTAGGGATTACCCAGTTGTGTCTAAGGTGTTTTTACAAAGAAGAAAAAAAACACCTTAGACACAACTGGGTAATCCCTAAATCCTGGACTGGTAGGTGTGCCTTGAGGACTGGGTTGGGAAACACTGCACTAAGGATAAATATTATCTGTGTAATCATGCAGTATAACTGAAATTCCTTTCTTTTGTAATTACGTTTACGTTAACCCCTTCAGGACGGAGTCAATAGTACACGTTCTCTGATCAAAACAAAATGTAAACAAAAACTGGAATTTGCACTATATGTCTGTTCAACTGTAATTCACTTCTTTCATATTAAGTGCACCCACACTCATTATATATCATTTTGTTCAGGAGAAACTGGGCTTTAATTTCTCATGAACTATTCATAATTGAAGCATAATTTATTATGAATAAAATAAAAAAACTGAGAAATTCAGATTTAAAAAAAATTTGTAGACATTTTAGCTGTAAATGTCATGATACTGTTTGCTTTAACTGCAAAAAAAACCACGTATTTGGATTCAGCAAAGTCTCACCAGTACAACAGTACCCCCCATTAACAGTTTTTACAGTGTTTTGGAAAGTTACAGGGTCAAATATAGCACATTCCATTTTTCAGTTTTTTCAAATTTAAATTTGCCAGATTAGTAATGTTACCTTTGAGACCGTGTGGTAGCCCAGGAATGAGAATTACCCCCATGATGGCATACCATTTGCAAAAGTAGACAACCCAAGGTATTGCAAGTGTGGTATGTCCAGTCTTTTTTAGTAGCCACTTAGTCACAAACACTGGCCAAAGTTAGCGTTCATATTTGTTTTTGTGTGAAATAAGCAAAAAAACTAATATTTGGCCAGTGTTTCTGACTAAGTGGCTACTAAAAATGACTGGACATACCCCATCTGCAATACCTTGGGTTGTCTACTTTTGCAAATGGTATGCCATCATGGGGGTAATTCTCATTCCTGGGCTACCATACGGTCTCAAAGGCAACGTAACCAATCAGGCAAATTTCAATGTGAAAAAAATGAAAGGCAAGCCTTATATTTGACTCTCTAACTTTCCAGAACACCATAAAACCTGTACATAGGGGGTATTGTTATACTTGGGAGACTTCACTGAACACAAATATAAGTGTTTCAAAACAGTAAAACATATTACAACAATGATATAGTCAGTAAAAGTGTTGTTCATGTGTGAAAAATGCAAACAACTTCATTTTTACTAAATATATCATCGTTGTAATACAAGTTACCATTTTGAAACACTAATATTTGTGTTCAGCAAAGTCTCCTGAGTAAAACAGTACCCCCCATGTACAGGTTTTATGGTGTCTTGGAAAGATACAGGGTTAAATATAGTGCGTGCGAATTAAATTTTCTGCACTTTCTGCTTGGGTTGTCAGGCATGTCAATCAAATTTTAATTAATTAAATCACATAATTCTGTTAAAAGATTACTTAAATATACACGTAGAATTTTAATATATATACATATATATGTATTTACATTCTATGTATATACTTATGTAGTTATTTATGTAATTATATTTATCTTTATATAAATATTTGCAGTTATATGTATTTTATATATAGATAGATATATATAGAATGTCATGTATTTTGTTACCAATATATATATATATATATATATCCAAAAACAAATATGAATACCGCACTCAAAAAATGATTCTTGTGAAATCTAAACTTGTATTGAATTGCAAAGGTATTTATTATAATAATAATTCATAGGTTAATCAAGTAAACCTTAGTGAAATTCATTCCAATCATATATACACATCGATTATTTACATATATACATACAAAAAACCTCCCTGTGCTGAATTTCATGAGCTATATATCTATATACACTGGTTATAGATCCAAAAAATGAATGAAAATGAAATGTCCAGAGAAAAAATATAAAAAATAGTAAAAAAGGAAAAAAGCAGAAAAAGCAAAAAGGAAAAAAGAAAAAAAGAAAAAAGAAACAAAGAAAAAAATTTATATATATTCCAGTCCTATTAATAGTCCAAAATATAGTGCACTATATAATTCATATAATTCATAAGTATATGGATGGATCTCACCAAAAAATACGTAAACTTGATAGTATATTCAGTAGGAGGGTGGTAGATCTTGTAGATGATGTATATTGAATGAGGGTGAAAATTAGTTGTAGCTCGATGAGAAAGTAATCACTCGTCCCTTTTATGGTATCTGGTCAGTCTGACAGGTCTTTTCCTGGGTTCATAATCGTGGGCAATCCTGTGAATCGGGCTGAAATGGGCTGCGCGCTCGGGAAATGGGGCCATCGAAGGGACAGGAACGTCCCGAGCGCGCAGCCCATTTCAGCCCGATTCACAGGATTGCCCACGATTATGAACCCAGGAAAAGACCTGTCAGACTGACCAGATACCATAAAAGGGACGAGTGATTACTTTCTCATCGAGCTACAACTCATTTTCACCCTCATTCAATATACATCATCTACAAGATCTACCACCCTCCTACTGAATATACTATCAAGTTTACGTATTTTTTGGTGAGATCCATCCATATACTTATGAATTATATGAATTATATAGTGCACTATATTTTGGACTATTAATAGGACTGGAATATATATACATTTTTTTCTTTTTTTCTTTTTTCCTTTTTGCTTTTTCTGCTTTTTTCCTTTTTTACTATTTTTTATATTTTTTCTCTGGACATTTCATTTTCATTCATTTTTTGGATCTATAACCAGTGTATATAGATATATAGCTCATGAAATTCAGCACAGGGAGGTTTTTTGTATGTATATATGTAAATAATCGATGTGTATATATGATTGGAATGAATTTCACTAAGGTTTACTTGATTAACCTATGAATTATTATTATAATACATACCTTTGCAATTCAATACAAGTTTAGATTTCACAAGAATCATTTTTTGAGTGCGGTATTCATATTTGTTTTTGGATCTAGATTAGGAGGTTGTTGTGGGGTTAAACCTCGAATACCTGCACCTTGCATAATTGAGTGCCAACACTTATTGTGTTTTTTTGTATATATATATATATATGTTGTGGAAATAAAATATGAATATATACACATATAACTTTGTAGTTAGTAAAATGTCTATTTACCCATTGCACTGAAATCAGTAGATAAGCTATTCACGCATATTTAGACAAAATGGCTGCTAGAAGTTTCTAACCCCTCCCTCCTTATAACCTCGACTAACTACCTCGTGTAACAAGATGGCGCTGAGATCTGGGGGAGACCCTCATATGGTCTCAGTGACATCACCTCTAGTAGGAAGAGCACTAAGATAACTACTTAACACCTAACCAATTGATACCGTATTATTCCATGTTATCTCTGACAATGCTTATGATGTAATTTTGCTTTAAAAGGGACTTGCCGTCCCCTCTGAATAAACATTCCTCAAGTTATTCAACTACCTGAAACTTGTGTCTGGTGTGAATTACTTCAGGGAGCGTGCACGCACTGTTTCATTAATTTGGTCAGGGGCAGATACACAAAGAATAATCAATCGATTTGAGTTGATTTCCACTTCAATATATATATATATATATATATATATTAATAACAAAATACAGTTAGAATGAGATTACATATGTATGTATAATTTATTTTTATTTTTTAAAATATTTAATTTATTTATTTTGTTTATTATTGTAATTATACGTATTTATATATACATAATATATATATATATGTATTATATATATATATAATATATATATCTTATATATATGTAACGTCATTCTAAGTGTATTTTAATACTAATATATGTACTTATATTAACATTCAAATACACTATGTATGACGTTACATATATATAAGATGTGTATATATATTATTACATTTCAGACAGTCCCCCTGCTGGCAGATCCACAGCCAGTGGTATTAGTAAATTTGTCTGAAAGACCAATTTTGGTCTATTTAGTAAATAGCTTCTTAATACCGTTGGAATTAGGAAGCTGTTTACTAAGCGGCTGCAAGATGCATCCATGGCATGAATAGCATCGGAATTTCATTCATTCAAATGAAATTCTGATCCGAACAAGAAGTACCAATTGCACCCTAGCTAAAACTGTTCCCATTCTCTTCTGACGAAATTCGGTAGTTTTGCCGGTGTTCGAATGGCGAATTAAGCAGCTGGAGGAGAGGTGAGTATTGTGGGAAAATGGCTTTGGCCACAGGAAATGGAGCAGACTCAGCTCCTAACGTGGGTCAAAGCTGATCAAACATGTAAAAAATACATTAGACAAAATAGTCCCAACTTGTCTTATGTTTTAAAGAAAACTAGATCAGATAGGAAGAAAATAAGAACAGATCTTGAGAGAGGAAGAGAAGAGGAAGCAATTGGGGAAAAGTAAGTTCGGCATGACAGTGCCGCTTTAAGTTCACAATGTGTGCTTGCATGTAGGGAATAATATAGGCATAGTGTTAGCCAGTGATGTACATAGGAGATTTGGTACCTGGAGTGTATTTGTACATTGGCACTCTCCCAGTCTTAGCACTCCAAGCAACATAGCCACCA